AGCTGTCAGTTCTGCACCGACTTTATATTCGACAAACCAAACATCACCTGTCATTTGACAACAACAACAACAAAACAACAACAACAACAACAATAATAATAATAATAATAATAATAATAATAATAATAATAATAATAATAATAATAATAATAATAATAGCTGGAAACTGGAGATTCGTCTCTGCAACAACTACCGTACCGGATAAGCTAGACCTCGGATCGTAGATACGTAGAATATTGTCAACGCAAAGACATTATCACATGTTTGTGATTGAGAAAAAACGACAAGTAAAATATTTTGCTGCAAAAGTTGCAACCCTCTTATATTTATTAGTTTTGAAAATAAAAATGAATAAACTACGAAACTACAATTGTTACCCTGACACTGAAAAGTTAACCAGAACGTTAGTACCACGCTGAAAACACGTCATGTATTACCTTTGTAAAAAAAATTATTATTTCTTGTCAATTCTATCAGGATCAATGCATGTACATACCATTTGTAATTCACTATATTTTTAGATCAGATTACTAATTTAGATCATGTTCATGTGTGACGTTGTATTAACTGTATTAACGTTGCCAAAACGTTTTATATATATATATAGCCTAGTTAGTTATTAGTTTCGTACTGTTCGTCGTCAGTTTATAGCATCTATATATATATATATATATATATATATATATATATATATATATATATATATATATATATATATATATATATATATATATATATATATATATATATATATATATATATATATATATATATATATATATAAATGATACATTGCAAAACTTTGAACCAAAATATTTTCATAGCCATGAGTTTTCCCAAAAGACGTAGTTTCCGTGTTTGCAAAGATGCATTTGTTAAAATGAAAGAAGGTCAAATTTTATAATTGACTTACCATTTAAGTCGATCTGTACTTTACCAGAAATAACCTGTCTATTTTCTAACTGAAGATCTTATTCAATTATGGTACAACGTCACTGAAAAAAAATTCCTAAAAATCTGAATTATTACCGTGTTAAAAATTATACTCAATTATTATTTCCAATTAATTATTTTGTCTCAGTCGGGGCCCCGAGTGGCCGACTAGTCTAAAGCGCTGACCGTTACGGATCACTGCCATCTTACCTCTGTCTGCGTTAGTTCCAGTCCAGATTCGACTAACGTGGGTAAGTGAGAAAGCCTGCCAGTAGTTTCTCGTGGGTCGGTCGTTCTTCCCAGGGCTTTCAAGGGTTCTTTCTCCACCATTGTTACTGGCTGCCATGTATAGCCTATCTTGTGCTGAAAATGTCGTTAAACCCTATAACAACAACAACATCAACAACAACAACAACAATGTCTCATTCTTATAATTCTGTTTAAACCTATCTTAATTTCTTCCTAGCTTGAGACCGCTCAGGTGGCCTTGTGGTTAGAGCGTCCGCACAAGGCGCTCAGCATACAAGGTCCGTGTTAGGACTGATCGGCCTGGTATCAGGATAATGTGACTGGGTGGGACATAATGTTACATGTCTGCGGCACGATGCTCCAGTGCTAGTCGTAACTATAAACTGCCGCATTGCAGACATCGTAGTGATATGACTGACAAATTGTTAAATCTACGTTGAAAATCCAAATCTACACACACACACACACACACACACACACACACACACACACACACACACACACACACACTTTCTAGCTTGAACCATTATTAACGTGCTTTACAGTGTTTCCCTTTACGCACAGTATTGTGTCAGAAACGCACGCTAGAGAAAATTGACGCACACAATTTTTAGCCGTGAATTTTCTTTGACGCAAATGATTTGCAGAGTACACTCAGGATTTATTAAATATCTAATGCATTGGATTAGGGATGTCATTGTGTATACTTCGATCATAGGCATATTCTGGTTTCCTGTTTCGTATGCTCCCTGCGTTGCACTCTACAATTCTGAGCCTACGAAGCAGAGAACCAGACTACCATAGGCAATATGTTGACAGTAGCCTTCCCTAATCTCGCGCGCTCTCATGCGATTCTATCGAGCTTAGCAAGATGTCATCTCGATGTTTAACTTCAATACTTGTTGCACTAAAAATTGGATCTCGAGATTAAAACGGCATGCGTGCACTAAGAATCATTAGCGAAGAAAGTGAAAGAAGCAGAACACGAAAGAGCTAATGTGGATCTGACTTTAATGAAAATGGAGACAATATTCCCTTAACAAGAATACGGCACATCTATTGAGATTACCGGTGTGACTTCTGATCTTGTGATTGCGAAGACTGCACAAGTGAATAATCCTTTCATGACAGAGTTTAAAATCTGCCTCTGATCACCACGAGATATCTTTTGAACACATTATTACCTAAGACATTCTTTCAGAACAAAGAAATAAGTAATCTTGCAGAGACAAATCCATTATTTGGATTACAAATTCATGGGGTTGTTGCAGATTTTGTTAACTTTGCTGCACCGAAAGAAAGATCTAAAAGTTCCAGTGTAACTTGTCAAAGATAATATAAATCATTAGCCCCTTTGATTTTTGGATAAATGTGTTTTAGGACGAAGTACAATGAAACAGATGATAGTAATATTTTATGACAGGTAGTAAATTAACCGTCAGGTGTTAAAAAAAAAGATTGATATGGATTTTTGTATTGGTTTATATGTAATTTATGGGTCTATAATATTGCTACAAAAGATTATAAAGAGGCTGTAAAAAGTACGACTTTAAACTTAAAGGAAAATAAACCCCGGGGGGATACACTGTTTATAATTATTTCTAACTTGCGTAGGTATGGGTTCCTAATACAATAATTGTATTCAATCGACTAAGAATGCACGTGTGTATATATTGTACCTTTGAATGCAGTTTGGTGGAGAAGCAAATGTGAAATTTGGTCCATAAGTTTCTTTCGACTGACCCGGGGATGGGATCTGAAAGTAGTTCCCTGTAATGAGTGTTTGAGTGGAGATTTATATTATTGACGTTACACAACGGAATCCTTACATGTAGAAGCCATGCAGTTGTGAAATTGTAATATTTGTGTTCATTGACTGAATTAGAAATAAATTGTATGTTGTCTTGGCTCGTTATGAATACTTCCAGCTGACAACTACTGCAGTCGAGTAGTCATTGAAAATAGGGGAAAACAAGTAATTTCAATAGCAAAATCACGCAGAGAGAGAGAGAGAGAGAGAGAGAGAGAGAGAGAGAGAGAGAGAGAGAGAGAGAGAGAGAGAGAGAGAGAGAGAGAGAGAGAGAGAGATTTGCAATGCTCTGAAAACGCTTCCTCAGTCTGGGCCTCACCTATTGTTCTATTCCAAGGACCCCTTGCCACCATTCTTCCACCACAACTAAATATAATTTCTGGTTGTGGCACGAATTGTCATTCACAAGTAGCATACATAAAAAAGGCATTTTTTAACTGGAAAATCTCAGATAACTGCACCATGCTCACTTATATTTCTGTATGAGCGGTCAAGTAATTTTAAGTGCTTTCAAAGTACACTCACGATGTGACTGGACTTGCGCTCTATTATCTCCCCTACGTTTGTCTCTATGATGCCGAAATGCCATGTATATACTTGATAAATCACCCAACGTTTGTCTCTTTGATGCCGATATACCATGTATATACTTGATAAATCAGCCTACGTTTGTCTCTATGATGCTAATATGCCATGTATATACTTGATAAATCAGCCTACGTTTGTCTCTATGATGCCGAAATGCCATGTATATACTTGATAAATCAGCCTACGTTTGTCTCTATGATGCTAAAATGCCATGTATATACTTGATAAATCAGGCTACGTTTGTCTCTATGATGCCGAAATGCCATGTATATACTTGATAAATCAGCCTACGTTTGTCTCTATGATGCCGAAATGCATATATATACTTGATAAATCAGCCTACGTTTGTCTCTATGATGCTAAAATGCCATGTATATACTTGATAAATCAGCCTACGTTTGTCTCTATGATGCCGAAATGCCATGTATATACTTGATACATCAGCCTACATTTGTCTCTATGATGCCGAAATGCCATGTATATACTTGATCAATCAGCCTACGTTTGTCTCTATGATGCTAAAATGCCATGTATATACTTGATAAATCAGCCTACGTTTGTCTCTATGATGCCGAAATGCCATGTATATACTTGATAAATCAGCCTACGTTTGTCTCTATGATGCCGAAATGCCATATATATACTTGATAAATCAGCATGAAATATGACTGAGAGGCATAATTAAATGTCACATAGCATAATTTGTTACAGTATTTAATGCACGCATTAAGAAGACATTTTCCTGAATAATTACCATGTCTTCATATAAGTACGAACACACCTTCTCCAACTGTCCAATGGAGACTTGTCAAATGGTGACATGAACAATGGTGACTTATTCAGGAGAGAGAGAGAGAGAGAGAGAGAGAGAGAGAGAGAGAGAGAGAGAGAGAGAGAGAGAGAGAGAGAGAGAGAGAGAGAGAGAGAGAGAGAGAGAGAGAGAGAGAGAGAGAGAGAGAGAGAGAGAGAGAGAGAGAGAGTTAAAAAATACCTATAATTTCAGTGAGAGTACGTAAGGTGCTTTCTGAATTCTTCATCCCTAGGACACACAACATACATTTCAACTTCCTTTATTTTCACGTTAGCTTTAGTCTAACATTCAAGTCGCTTTGTCGTGATGAAACTTTGGTTGAAAGTGCATTATAAATAATAGGAAGATTTGTGATGTGATATGATTTGATGTTATTATGATTTGTAACGTACGTAGCTTTAACAATTTTTCAGTCATATCGCTACGATGTCTGCAGTGTGGCAGTTTAAGGTGATGTCTAACACTGGGTCATCATGCTGCAGACATGTAGCATGATGTCCCACCCTGCCACACTATCCTGACACCAGGCTGACCAGTCCCAACACTAACCTCTTAATGCTGAGCGTCAAGCGAGGCAGCTGTTAGTACCATTTTTATAAGATTTTGGTATGACTCCATCGGGGATCGAACTCACGACCTCCTGCATCCGAGACGGACACTCTAACCACTAAGCCACCGAAGCAGTTTAGGATGACTTTAACATTATTTAATAAATTATTAAATTTTAAAAAATACGCTGAGTAAAATCATATAACACCGATTCAGTGCCATCATTTTATGGTGATGCATACTTAGTCGTGACGGTATATGTGTTGGTGCGTGCAGGCAAGGCGATGGGTGCCATTTACTCGCGGACCTGAGTTCGAAACTCCGTAGAGTACGAATTCGATTTCTCTATCTTGTATGATAGTATTGTTTGTATTCCTATAGTATGTGCAGTTTCATATTTTTGATATTATCACATGTTAAAATAACACTTTATGTGATTCTGATTGGTCCAAATAAGCCCATGAAATTATTGTGCGGTATTTTCTTGAATGATCGGCTAGGATCGTGGGCAAAGGTTTTTAACCCCTCGTTCTGGAATGTTTCGATTTGAATGAACATTTCTTTCCGGCCAATTTTCAACTCGACCCGCAAATGGAAATTGAGGAAATATTTTATTGGCTATCTGAATATCGATATATTACCCCAACAGCGGTTTGTTATGTCATGTTTAACAATATAATCATAAGAAAAATGGCGTAAAGCTACAAGACAAGAACAACGATAAAGAAAAAAACTAAGGGTTGCAGGTGGCGGATGGGATGGGGTGCATATGTCCGTAACATAGATATAGAATCCACGGTCTATACAAGCTTGGTTGAAAGGTTAACTTAAAGAAGTAAACAAACTCACCTCTGTTCACAGAATAATCTGGACATGAATGGGTCTCCTAACTGACAGATCTTTATCCAACCTCAGCATCTTTACGTAGCATATATGGGATGCAAATCCGACACAAAAACAAATTTGTTAACGTCTTTTGTAGTCTTTTGTTCAAATCAAACACGGCAAATATCAGGTCACATATATATTGCAGTAAATGTGGGAAATTTTGCATCTGGTAATTCTCTTCAACATGAAAATTGCAACAACGTAACTTTTAGTTCTTGAAGACACACTTTAGGGTACAGGTGTACTCTACTGTTAGCCTGTTGTACTGTGCACTGTATCAAACAATGTGGCAGTATCACATCGCACTGATCATTCTGTTATAAAAAATGTTTTTGTGGTTATAAAATATTCTGTTCATTCGGATGGAATCTTTTTCTTTCATTTATATTTTGTAAAACAGTACAATCTACTTTTACCAGTTCAGCTTTCTTTGGGACTATTTTGTATGCACAACAATGAAAGGTACACCTTCTGTCAGAATTAATTAAATTATTCGTTCTTCCATCTAAATAATTTCAAATGAAATAAAAACTGTGACTAAAAGAATCTCAAATGGGTAACGATTTAATATTAAATTTATGAAGCTCGTTGAATAATATCCTACTTTTGCCAAGGCTCGCAAAAGCTCGTTGAAAAATGTCTTGCTTTTGCCAAGGCTCGTAAAAGCTGGCATATATATATATATATATATATATATATATATATATATATATATATATATATATATATATATATATATATATATATATATATATATATATATATATATATATATATATGTGTGTGTGTGTGTGTGTGTGTGTGTGTGTGTGTGTGTGTTTCCTCAGTTTTCTTTTGTGAAAGTGCCGTCAGGTTTGTACTTGTCACTCGTGCACATATGCCGTGTAAATTGACTATAATGGTAATCTTGCTGCTTTTCTTACATAATCACCAAGGACAATTTATTGTCTTGCCTAAGAAAGAAATGGACATTTTGTTGACAAACAGCACATAGCGCGTGGATTAGTGATTGATGCTTTTATGTGATTTAGATTCTAAATTGACGTCAATTTTCAATCTGCTAAATGATAAATATTTAGGTCATTTCTCGCATTCAGAGAAAGTTAAAGTTGGTCTCAATGGGATCAGAATGCGAATATAAATTATGTCAATGCATATTTTGATAAAACAATCGTTTTTGAGTGTTATCAATGCTTTTTTCATTTGTATGCTTAATATCGTTTACACATTTAAGTGTTTAGCAGCTCATATCACAAATTGCTATCAAATTCCAAGTAAATCTTACATGCTGAGACGCAATTTAAGAGCTTCATTCTTTCAAATTGATTTGGATTAAAACCTTGCACTTGCAATCTATCTATCTATCTATCTATCTATCTATCTATCTATCTATCTATCTATCTATCTATCTATCTATCTATCTATCTATCTATCTATCTATCTATCTATCTATCTATCTATCTATCTATGTACTTATACTTATACTTATATATATATATATATATATATATATATATATATATATATATATATATATATATATATATATATATATATATATATATATATATATATATATATATATATATATATATATATATATATATATATATATATATAACTGACTTGGAATCAAGATCAATCCATGTACTATTTTATACAGTAACATATAGGCCATGTAATATTTTATACAGTAACATATTAGCCATGTAATAGTCTAGACAGTAACATATAGGCCATGAAATATTCTATACAGTAACATACAGGCCATGTAATATTCTATACAGTAACATATAGGCTATATAATGTTCTATACAGTAACATATAGGTCATGTAATGTTCTATACAGTAACATATATGCCATGTAATAGTCTATACAGTAACATATAGGCCATGTAATATTATATACAGTAACATATAGGCCATGTAATATTCTATACAGTAACGTATAGGCCATGTAATATTCTATACAGTAACATATAGGCCATGTAATGTTCTATACAGTAACATATAGGCCATGTAATGTTCTATACAGTAACATATAGGCCATGTAATATTCTATATAGTAACATATAGGCCATGTAATGTTCTATACAGTAACAAATAGGCCATGTAATATTCTATACAGTAACATATAGGCCATGTAATATTCTATACAGTAACATATAGGCCATGCAATATTCTATACAGTAACATATAGGCCATGTAATGTTCTATACAGTAACATATAGGTCATGTAATATTCTATACAGTAACATATAAGCCATGTAATATTCTATGCAGTAACATATAGGCCATGTAATATTCTATACAGTAACATATAGGCCATGTAATATTCTATACAGTAACATATAGGTCATGTAATATTCTATACAGTAACATATAGGCCATGTAATGTTCTATACAGTAACATATAGGCCATGTAATATTATATATAGTAACATGTAAGCCATGTCATATTCTATACAGTAACATATAGGCCATGTAATATTCTATACAGTAACTGAATCATAATGTCGATACCGTTAACCACAATTTTTATTTTTCCAGATATGAAATAAGAAAGCGAGCATGGTACATTTATTGATGCATGATTCAGATTAAGGGCCTGAATGATACACTATCTTAATGGTACATAAACTTATTAAAAAGGGATTAAATAAGGAAACTGTTCATGTTGTACTTAGTTCTAAAGAAACCCTTGATATTAGAACCGGGTAAAAATTGTAGAGTAATCTGCTTTTTTTACGTTTTATTCAACAACTTTTATTCGAAAATAAAGTCTTTTTGGTCAGGCATGATTTTGGATTATATGATTATTTTATTTCATAATAGTGCCAAGTGTTACAAGGAGAGGCTTATTTCACCGTTGTTTGATACTTTGCACGTGAATGAATTTGAAAATGTGTATATTATTGAGATAGTCTACTATGTGAAGTGTATAGACTCAGTTTATTTTCCGTTATGATACGGTTATCTAGTGGTTTGCCTAGTGCTGAATTTACAAAAAAACAATTGCATACCTTTTTCATGTCTTGTAATAGATAGAATTTAAACTTTATACTGATAAAAGAATGATAGTAGTACCTATAAATGGTGGTAAAATAAAGTCCAGTGCAAAATTATTACAAAAGAAAGTGATAGACACTGTTGATAAATATTTCCAATTGGGTCATCAGCAACAATCAAATCTTATAAGGGGCGCCAGAATCTACTTCTTGATCCATAATTTCATGTTGATAGAATCGAGATTTGAAGCATTTAAAGGAATACTAGGGGAAAACTTTCAAGCTATACCTTTCCTTTTCTAAGTTCATTAACGAAAGGTTTTGGATTATTTTTCTCCTAAAACTTCGTCAATTATTTGGCCCCAGTTGATTTGAAAAATTGTTTCAGCCAGAGTTCTAGAGTTTTGTTATCTTAAACGGTTCACATTTTAATTCTAGAAGTAGTGAATTATCGTACTGAAAATACACCTGGTGGTTTTTCCTCACACGGAGCTAAAATCTTTGCTTGATCAATTCGCATATAAAGCCATGACAGACAAAAGTGAATATCACTATGATAGACTGCTCACTTTAACGGCACAATTTAAGGTCATAGGTCATGTATGTATACAGGTTTCTATTCGGTCTTATTAGGAATATAGTGTAAATCTATCCCAGCCAAAAGAGGGCAAAGAAGGCACTTAAATACGAAAAGGTAAATTTCAAGACTAGAATTTTACCTTTTATGTGCCAGCTTTTGCAAATGTGAAGACGTTCAGAAAATTATAGAACCACGTGTGCTATCATAACGGACTTCCTGATTTTGATTATGGTAGCCACCCCGACGTTCAAACAAAACCGAAATCAACCAAAACATCTGGTTGCCAAACTACAGTTTCTACCCTGTTTCAAATATTATATTTAAAAACAAATATATAAGAATAAAATCGGAATAGTATGGTTATAATGGTAAAATTCAAAGTCGTATCTCTTTCTAATCTGATTAAACAAGTTAATTACCTAATCAAATTTTTTCTTGAGCTTTGAATGAGATTCCTTATAAAGATGAACAGAAAATGAATCAGTGTGGATCAATCTCTTCATTAAAGTTAAAAAAATTCCCATATACTTAATGTCAAAAACCGGAAATGTTCTCATTTCCTGTATCAAAGAATCAGGGCAAAAGAGAAATAAATAAATGATACACGGTAGAACTATCACACAGTAGATATGACCACAAAAGGAGGCACCAGCGAAG